ATTGTGCAGGAGGCTTTACGTCCCTTTTAATTCAAATAAACAAAGCTCGTTAATGAAGTGAGGACTTCCCTAAATGAGGAAGGCGATATGCAATCAGTGAGCGTGAATCAATAGTGCAGAAGTTACTGCATGCAGCTTGATGTGAAAGCATGACCAAAAGAAGGGTGCTTATTTAAGTTTGAAAATGTCATTTTTCCTAGGCTAGTACTAAATCAAGACATATTTCTTCAAGACTAAAAGCTATCTCTGGTGATGATTATTAAGAAGGAGAGATCGGATGTGTGAAAATCATGGTTGTAGCCAGTTGCTCATGCTCTGTCACTTTTAGAGGGGAGTTTTGTGGCTGTAACTCCACTCCCTGGGTAGTCTGTTGCTTCACTCACTGTGTTTTGTGTATAGTTCTTATTAGCCTGCCAAAGGGCATAGTGAAACATTGTTTAGACAGACAGGCTGCATCTATACTACCTTCTGAGCACAGGCTTGAATCTGGGCTTGAACCCAGCTCCCCTTACATCTAATTATTTGGATGCTAGCCAGCGCTCTCCCCTCTGGTTAGGTTTGGGGCACTGTGCTGGTGAGAGAGGAAATGGCTTGAGATCAGCCTTCTCCTAACACTGCTCGGCGTACCCACACTTCCAGGGTACGCAGATGGGATATCTGGACTACAGACTAGAGTTGGTATGGGGAGGAATATGCCCGTATTTGCTTGTGCCACTTTTGGCTTTAGATGAAAACGTGGCCAGAATGGGATAAGGAATTTGGACTGCTGCTGTCCAAGGGTGTTTTTTTTTTTTTTTTCAGAAGGGGAAGAACTTATTCTGGAAGAAATTAATCTATTAGAGAAGGAGCTCCAAAAGCTCTGTTCTAGATTCATATACCTGTAACATCCTAAGGATACACATGCCTGGCAAGTTTTAGCATAATCTAGCATAGACTCATCTGATCTGGCTTTAGACTAGTTAGCTGTGGTGCCAGCAGCAGTCAATCCACAGTAGTGTGAAGCTCTGTGTTTGCTGAACGTGTGTGTAATTACCTAGCTTCTTGGACTTTTTTTTTTGTATAGCTCATAAAACTGACAGACTGGGCTAGCTATGCTCTGTGCTGCACCTTTGCTCTTTGTGAGCGCAGCTAAACTGCTGTTGATAGCTGAACTTGCTAAAGCTGGTCTTTCACTGCTGTGACTGTGACGTAGACTCCCCCTGCAAGGGACAGTCATGTGGTAGGAGCCAAAGGCACATAAGGGAAGTATGAGATTTGTAGCTGAGGTTTGGTGAAATTCAGTTCCTCCCCAACTTGTGATTTATGTATTTTTCCCCCTCTTGTTTTGGTAGCTAAAGGAATGCATTCGGGCACTGGATCAGGAACATGCTCATACTCCTTTCCGGCAAAGCAAATTAACTCAGGTAAAACCAGCAAGAACGCAGTAGCAGGTATATCCCTGATGAGGGCAAAATGAAAAAAGTATGATTCAATAACTGTTATTAGACCCTAGAAAGACAGAAAAATGAATAACTTTTCCAAACATTAAAGGTAATCACAGGGTTAAGGCCAACTGCCAGCAAGAAATACAATCAATCCCAAGGACTGGCATGGTGAAAAAAGGTACCACCTTCCTCAAAAGTGCACTAACTCCCAAACTCCGTGATTGAGTCCTCTTAGTCCCGTGTGAATGTTTACATAAACAGCCCTATGGACTAGCTGTCAGCAGATATTCATGTGTACGTCTACATAACCAGACTCGAAAGAGTTATCATCCACCTCCACCCACTCTACCGTCAGTCTTGCATCTTCTGTGCAGTAACAGTCATGGGAGTTTTGATGAACATTTCTTCACTCTAGTTGTAACATATGCTTTATTCCTCAAAACATATGGGCACCCTTGTGGCACCTGGTGCAAGGGCTTGTTCAGAGCACTGATTAACACTTGTATTCATTTTAAATTGTAAACAAAGAATTACAAGACAAATTGAGAGATGCGCACTACGTAAAAAGAGGTCGTTACCATGCATCACTTACTTGAATCATGTTAAATTGCCTGTGTGCGCACTAACTCGTAGGAAGTGCAAGATAACTTGGTTAACTTTTTCTAAGTTCTGAGCAGAGCTAAATCACTTTATCACATGTTTTGTGGAAATCGGCGTGTACAGGGAAATCTAATACACAGTAACCTGCTCAAGTAATTTTTTTTTAAACTGTAAGTCTGATCCTATGAGTTCTAATTTTTTATCCCTTATTGTTTGAAAATAAATATATGAATTACTAAGAATCTTAAACTTATCTTTTCCTTCCACTCCTAGGTCCTAAAGGATTCTTTCATTGGTAATTCCAAGACGTGTATGATAGCCAATGTATCACCTAGCCACATAGCTACAGAGCATACACTGAACACTTTGCGATATGCTGACAGGTGGGTGACATAGTTCACACTTCTGAGGTGAAAAACAGCAGGAAAAAAGTAATGTGTTTGTGATTACATTTTCTTTTGATTGCATTGGAAATTGTGAGTTAAGCAGGAAATGCAACTTTCATAATGCAATAAAATCTTTACCTATTCCACACTGACATTGGGTCATAAAATTCTCCAGGTCTGTAACTCCTTTCTGATGACAGCCCTTAGTGACAAAAATATCACTGTGCTCTCTGTAACTGCAGGATTGCTAACCTCGGTACTCAAAGTTTTGTTTTAGTTTTCTATTGTAGTTCTGCCTAGAGTGTGCTAAAGCCCTTCACCCTCCCTCCTACATAGATTGCAAGCAGTGCTGGGGTTGAGAGGACAAGAGATGTGTTAGGGGATAGAGGAATAAAAGAAACAATTGAGGGAATAGAGTGACACCAGTTAGAGCGGCTCTTCACAGTTGCATGGATGAGTCTGATCCAGAAATGACGTGGCCTGTACGCATGTTCCCTGAGCTAATTAAGCATACTGCAACTACTCCAGAAACCCTAATTCGTGTCTTGTGGTTGTGCTGATGAGAGTACCAACTTGTTTTGAGCTGGTATTGTGCCATGCGGCATTATAAAGTGTAGAAATGCACTACTCTTCCACTGAAATTGAGTAGAGACCATTTTCACTCCTTCGGCCTGTTATGTTATGTTCAGGGAAGCACTTTAAAATGCTCTGTAGACTTTTCCAGGAGTTCAGGATTTTGGTAGAGGTGTTTTTGATGCCTTCCTGGGTCACGGATAATTAAAACCCAAATCGTGCCATTGAATTCAGCGTTTAGCCTTAATATGTCAAAGTATTAGTTTGTTCTGAAGACACTGTTATTGATCTGAAAGCATGACATCTAAACTAGCCTCATTTACAGGGTCAAAGAGTTGAAAAAAGGGATTAAATGTTCTACCCCCATCACAAACAGACGTCGGATAGCTGGAAACGTATCCCCAAAACGTATCCAAAACTCTCCTTCTTTGCCACCTGGGGAAAAGAGCTCTCCAAAGAAAGTGAAGCTAGGCCTCCAACATCCTTCAAGCGCTACAAGAATGAAGGCATGTCCTTCAGCACTTCAGCCACCCAGTGTCCCTTTTACCTCAACCCCCAGGGGAGTCAACAAAGGACATGCCTGCAGAGGAAATCCCAGCTCACCGTGGTTCCACCACACTAGCCCAGTTAAGGGAGTCCTACGGATAGGGCAGCCCGTGAAGAAAAAGACTGATGATCTGTCTCCGCACTATGAAAAGAACCACGCTGCAAAGGATTTTATCATCAACAATGCTGCCACGATAGAGACAAAAGAGAGTGGCCAAAGAGACAGGTATGTGCAAGACAAACCACCTGTCCAGTGCTTGAAAGTCCAGACAGTGCAACCTGTGCAGAAACAGCTTGTTTCTAGAGGTAATTTTTCCTTTGGAGATGGAAATCAGCCTTTTGATGGCAATCAGGAGTGGGGAAATGCCTTTGCTAAACAGTGTGTTGAAACCTGGACAAACCTCTCTCCATTTCAAAAGGAAAGGGAGGAGCATTTACGCCTTTATCACCAGCAGTTTCAGCAGCCACCTATTCTACAGCAAAAATTGAACTACCAACCTCTTGAGAGGTTTTTAACTCAATACAAGCCCCAGGAGTTTCAAGTGCAGCAGGAGCCAAGCCTTACTCCCACAGAAGCACAGAGCAAGGATGGGATGCAGCTGGAAGATCTGGATGACAGTGATTTTAGTGAAGATTCTTTCTCACCTGTCTGCAGCCAAAAGAGCACGAAAAGAATTCGAAGCCCCAATGAATGCAGCCAGCATTCATTTTTCCTTCATCAAAGAGAACAGGGAGCTGAGGAAGAGCAGAAAGACCAAAAGAGAAAGGATTTATTATTTAAATACTCAGTTCCTGTGCAAGAACATGAACTAGATGACAGCTGGGATTGTAGTGGGGGCTGCCCAAAACCAGAGGAATCTATTAAAAATGCAGGTGGATGCAAAACTCCATCAGACTGGAGCTGTGACTTAACTACTGAGTCGTCTCCAAGCAATACTGCAGAAAAACCTTACTGCCTGCAAGATGATCTTGCTTGTAACTGGAAAAATTGCAAAGATTTCCCAGCTGATCACAAACAGTACAAACCCAAACGTCTCATTTATTACAATGAAACTGTCTTGACTCCAGAAAAGGAGGCTCCAAACCCATGTGTTTCTCCCGTATTGAAATCAGGAGCTCCAGAGTACATAGAGACCAGCCTCCTACATAAGCAGAAGGAAGAATCCACCTTGGATAGACAGGCTGCCCTCGCAGGAGACATAAAATGGAAAACTCGAAAAAATGGAGTTGGCCATTGTGGAGCTTCCAGTAATTCCTCAGAGTTAACTTTTGGGAGAGCAGCCCCTCTCATGGTATCCGTTCTTGACTACGAGGAAGCAACTGATACCGAGGCTGTGTCTTCCAACCGAGAGAAGTCTCCCCATGTGAAACAAATGTTAGACAGGAACATACACTGCTCCCAGAAAAGGCTTGAGGAAGAGGCCTGGCAGTGTACTAGAAACAGAGCTCTGACAGACAGTATGTTGGAGCTAGGGGAGCAAATGCGGCGCAATGGAAGGAACTGCGTCTTGCAGCGTTTCCCACAAACAGGGAACAAGTGGTTTTCACCCGCGGGCTGCAATGTGAAGCCATGCTGCTGCCTTCTGGGCTCAAGTTCATTAAATCAAGGAGCTGTTCATGGTTTATTTGTTGGAAGTGGAGCCCTAACAGACACATCCGCAGCTGAATCCAGGGACTCCAGGGGAGAGAGAGAAGGTGGTTTGCTTCTCAGTAACTCGATGTGCAAAGGCTATTCAGATAGACAGTGTGATGCTGATGCTAAAGCTGTTACTGGTAATTCAGGAAAATCTAATTCAGATCAAGGATGCAGTGTTGAACCCATGGCTCAGGCAATACCTGCTGATATTCCTGAAAAGGGTTGTTTTTCAGGTGCGCCATGCTTTCCCAGTGTGGGAAATATGGATTACACAGTCCAGTCCCCCTCTCAAGAAAGCAGCCTGCTGCTGCAGCCCGAATCAGGACTAAGGAACCAGGGCTTCAATCATTCTGAAGACACAGGCAAGTCGTCGTTCAGGAATGAAGAAATTGGATCGCTTAAGAACAAATTGATTCAGAGTATTTTTACACAAGAGACTTTTGCTGCAGATTCAGGATCTGCTGCCAAAGAGATTAAGCCATGGGCAAATGCAGACAACCCCTCAGGCCTGTCCAACATCATCTCCCCAAGTGCTACATCAGAGATGGAAAATCAGCAGAGGGAAGCCCTAGAAAAGGCACAGTAAGTCTTACTTATCGCTGTAGATTGTCATAGAGCTTAGAAATTCTAGACACAGATATGGTGCATTTGCCTTTATTTGTATATTATGCTTTTATGTACTTTAAAACTGTTAGGAAGTCAATCTCTGAAATAATTATTTAATAAGATTAATGATAATTTATAGTCATTATCTTATGTAAATATATGATTGACTGTTATTTAGTGGTATTTTAAAATCTCACAGGGAGCCAATTATTCTATTAGAGCTTCCTCAGATAACATTAGAGGAAAGAATAGTATAATACAAGCTGAAATACTCAGTAACTAATTGGCTTCCTGTAAGATGGAAAGAACCTAAAATATATCAGCACCTCCCATCAGGAAGTAGGTGATAGTTGTTGCATGCCTATGGAAAGAAAAACAGCTAGAGTAGCGAGCTAGTCAGTGAAGACGGAGATGTGCAGTTTCAAGGTGCTACAGGCCAGGCATTGCCACTGCCAGCTCCTGAGGACTAGACTGCGTTCAGTCCGCATAAAGTGCACGGCTGGCCAGAGAAACTCACGCCAAGGAATGAACAGTAGCACAGTCTTCCTGCTGTGCTTTGTTTTCAACAAAATGATTTCAACCTCATGGTCCCATCAGGCAGGGTTTTTTTTTTTTTCCCCCTTCTTTTTTTCCCTATAGTAAAAAGCAGCGTGTGCCCCTGTGCTGCCTCTGCTAACAGGAGGCTGTGGTCACTCCTCTCAGAGTAATCCTCAGTCTCATCAGGCTCTTCTTTACTTGTAGCCCAAGCCAGTGTAGTTCACCATACTTCAAGAACCACTCTGTGTGTGTGTGTGTGTGTGTGTGTGTGTGTGCACGTGTGCTACCTGAGTGCCAGGAGCCACCAGCAGCAAGACTTCCTCTGGAATATTTCTTCTTCTTAAAAGTTTATCGGAGCCCAATAGTAATTGCAGGTAGAGCAGCAGGCTGTGTAACCAAGGGTATACTTTATGTTAATCAGACAGGCTATGATTCGAGCCCATCGGCAGCAGCTGGATGAAATGGCATCCTTGTGCTTCAAGGAAGAGTGCTTGATAAATCAGATGTCGGCAACGGTAAGTATTTCAGATGATGACTTCAGTGCCTGTTGAACCTGCATAAATTAATCTTAAAGATCATTAATCTGAATTAGTGACATCCCTCATGTTCCCCCTCTTATTCTCTGGTGCCTCCCTGAGTCCTAGGAAGCCGCTCATTTTCAGTACCTGTCGTGTCTTTGCCGGTCTCCACTCTGCCAGGTCCTTGTGGGAGAACGAGGCTGATGGGCCAACCCTGAACCGCCTGTCTCTGCTAAGACAGCTTTCTCTTTTCTTGCAACATTGGTGTCAGACTGTACCAAACAGGGATTCTTCCCCTGTGGCTTTTATCCCCTTACAGGCTGGACCAAGTAAGTCAATACTACAGAAAAACAGCACTCCCGTAAAGTATGGCACTGGGATGTCACAGTTGGTGATGAAGTGCTGCATTGCCACTTCCTTATAGGAGTCTCTTGCTTATCACACTGCAGCTGTGCCAACCCCTGATCAGCATGGCCCTGCTCGCTCATTTGCTCTAACTACCATGGTTACTGGCTCCTTCAGAGGCACTTAATTTCTTTTGTCACTCAAGGGTTTCTGGGTTTATCCTTGTCTTGGATTACGAGTAAAGACTAGACTGTAGAGAATGGCACCTGCATGGCCCCCACTGCTAGCCAGGCAATGCGGGTACTCTGGTTTCTCTTCAGCTCATATTCTGTGATTTTTGCCTGCCTCCTGATAGGTACATGTCACAGTTGCACGATAAGCCTCTGATCTCCCACCCAGACCATTAATATTTCTCAGTGACAACCTCCCATCTTCCCAATTCCCTCACCTTGTCAATGAAATTAAGTTCCACTACTGCATTATTTTATCAAAGCCATTTTTATTCTTATCACAGCTGCAAACTTGAAGTGCAGCTACAGGGACTTTTGCTTCAGGAATTCAGAATGGCAACCTCCATGTGGCTAATTATCTGCTGTAATTTCCAGCTGACAGGACTGTGCATGTGATGTAGTACCAGATAACAAATAGAAATTCAGGAAGGGGTACAACAGGCATCAACTGTAGTAGTTTTGTGGCAGAGAACAAAATGATACAAAGCAGTCCTTTTTTTTGTTTGTTTGTTTGTTTTGGTTTTTTTTGGTGTTTTTCTCAGTTACTCAAGGTTGTTCTTGCCAATTCTGTTGTTCAGTGGCGACAGCCCTTCCCCTGTCCCCCCAAGCCATTTATTTGCCCCAAGTAGCAAGCGTTTTTAGGCTAGTAGGAACGTGACACACCTGCCAGGCCTCCCGGCAATGTGTGAATAGCTTTTGCCTTGTAGTGTTATTTCACAGAAGGACCTTTCCTTGGGCCATGGAACTGGCTTGGACTTCCCAAGTCAGTTTTTCCTCCATCCGCTTTCAGATAGCTGCCACTTCTCCAGGCATGAAGCCTGGGTCACGGAGAGACTCCTGCCAAGCCCCAGCACATACCGAACCAAGCAGTATTTAAAGTGCTTGAGCAAAATAAGCTGGGGCAGCTGGGTTGGTCTTCAGTACAGGGCTGATGTCTGCCAGACAGAGCTGTCATGCTCAAGTCCTGCATGATTGTTTTCACACAGTAGCCATGAAAGGCCCTAGCCCTGAGGATGCTGACACTTCCCCAGGTCTTAGCTACTGACCCATGAACAAAGGCACCAACCTCTCTTGTCATCTGGCAGGAGCAAGGCTAAACACTGCTTTATTAGCACAGGCCTTGCTCAAAAATAAGTTCCATTTCATTTTTAGACAAAATAGGATACACAACTAACTGCACCTAATTGTGTGACAGGTTGCTATGGAAAGTGGAGTCCCCTTGTCCCTAGGCTATACATTGCTCCTGTTTTTCATGTCTGATCTAGCAGACTTGCAGCTATGCAGGAGTTGGGCTGACACTGTGATCTGATGTAAAACAATCTTTCCCTTCTCCCAGGAATGTTTTTTTTGTATCTGATCACTACTGGTCTTCATGAGCGTTAGCTCCAACTCAAGAGAGGGGTCAGGAATATGGGAAAGAGCAGATTCGGTACAGTATAAAACTGCACCTCAGATGACTAGTATCTGTGTCAAACCCTCAAAAAGATAACCTGGGTAGAAGGGTAACAGCAGAATGGCATTTTAAATGCATTTCTTATGCCAGTGTATTAGACAGCTAAAGGGGAAAAAAAAAACCACTACAGTAGTAAATTAGTAATCAGGGGCATTGAACTCTGCTGTATGAGAGAGCTTTAATAAGGAGATACTGAGTAAGTCTATTACACAGTAGAATAAAAAACATTCTTTTATGTACTGCTGCCATACATAAAATGTGCTGATTGTCTCCAACTTGCTACTACTATTGTTGCCCAAGCTTTTCTTTTGTTTTCCTCCCCAGGATTTTCAGAATTTTGTGGCCAAGCTGGATGAAATCTTGGTACTGAAGTCAAAGTGTATCCAAACTATGCGAGCCCAGCTTAAGCTCTATTTAGACTCTCCTGGTGCTGACACAGCCCTGCAAACATCACCACCAGTTTAGCTCTTCTTTGCTTACACATGCCCTATGCACAAAAACAGTTATGGAAACAGCCAGCTGGTGTTCCACCACATTTGGTGCTGCAGCATGTGGGTGGGCAGGGGATAGCTTTTGGTTTGATGTTTGCAATTAGTGTATATTTTAGAAAAGGATGGAGAGAATTCTGAGTAAAGGTGAGGCATGCTTGTCACCACAAGCTCTGTATTTCCTTAAAACTAGTAAGTCACGTTCTTAAGAATAACCAGTTCAGCAGCCTTTAAATATCTCACCAAGCAGTCCAGTCCACAGTATTCATAGCAGCTTCTCAGCCAAGAAAATGGTGGGGGAGGGAGAGGGGCCAGGGAGAGAAAACACTTTGATGCTGGACACAGCTCTGAACAGAAATACTCAAAAGCTATCCAGAAAAGTACGTTGGCAAACAGAAGTGAGGAACTAGAGGGGAGCCATTGTTTAAGTACACTAAACTAGACCAAAAGTAAATGAAAATCAAGGCAGGACAAGAGGTGCTGATGCAGAAAGCAGTCCTAAGCAAAGTGCAGCAATAGCCTTCTAACTCCAGACCATCTGAAAAAGATAGATAGCTTAAGTCATGCATAACAGGTGGTTTAGCAGAAGGCTTATATGTGAGGGACTTCATACGAAGGTTCATCTGGCATGTTAATAAAGGCACAGGTTTCATACTATGCCAAGAGTGAGAGGCCCAAAGCTTACCCCGCTACAAAGGATGCCTGACCTCTGCAGTACAGCTCTGCTGTAGGGTGCTTTGTCCCGTTGACTTTGTGGCACTGCAGAATTTATTTTTCACATCAAAAGAGAGAGTCCACTTAGAGGCAGCCGGATTTCAGAAGCTGCTGACCTTGCTGTTAAAGAGAACCTGATATTTGAACCAAGAACTAGAACTATCAGCTGTAGCCCTGCAAAATCCCTGCTTCTGTGCATCACATCTGAGCCACAAAACAAGTCCACTCACTGAAGCCACAAGTGACCTTAAAATATGCATAACTAAGCCAACATGCTATGCAAGCTGTCCCAGTCCAAAATTAGGGCTGTCACAGCACACAGCCATTTCCACCTCTCCTCAATAATGCCTACAGTAGCTCAATCTAAGCATGCTCCAATGGCCATAAATGCCAAGGGTGAATAAACCCTAGTCTAAGCAGCTGTGAATTTTGCTGTCTGCTACTATGGCTACCCAGGAGAACAAGGGGCCGGAAGAGCAGTAGCGCAGTGATCACAGTCACATTCAGTTATCTGCGTTGCATATTCAATGCAAACGCTCCCAAGAACATCACACAACAAGCCCTGAGGAACAGAAGCACAAGGGTAGGCCTAACCATAGTAACTGTAGAAAGTTACAGTTCAGTCAGGGTCCTAACTTCTTTTTTTTAAATGAAAAGTACTGGTTAGTCTCCATCTCACAACTGACAGTGGATTACCCCAAGAAGCAGAGAGCAGAGTCATTTCAGAGTCTGAGTTTATGGCCTCCAAGATAGCACCTGTGTCCAGGCCAACAGAAAGTCACACTTGAAACCAGGCCTCTCAGTCTCCTTTTAAGAAGTTTTTTTTTTGCTCAGCAAAATGAGGCTTTCAGGAGCAAGAAAGGCAGCACCTCTTCAACAGCCTCAGTGCACAGTATCCACACACATCACAGAGTAGCTGTAAGTACAGTCTCTTACTAACAGAGAACTGTAAGCGAACACACACACACACTGCTAGCCAGGGGAACACAGGTGCACTGTTAAAACACCCAGGAGAGAAGAGCAGGTATAAACTGAGTTCCCCTTTAAAATAAGCAACTCTTAGAAAAGGACCCTCCTCCCTGCCCACCCCCCCCATCTCTTGGGGACAAGGACAGCTTTCCTCATGCATAAGGTGAGGTGAACCATGCAGCAGCAGACAGTCCTTCCTTGCATCTTCTGAAAGCAAATGGATGGAAGTGTTTTCAGTGATTTCCACAGCACTTTCCCCAGTGATCATACAGAAAACAAGGCTGTGGGGGAGCTGCTGAGCACTTTTGCAAGTCAGTTTGGAGCTGAGGAGAAAGTGGGACAGAAGGACACGCACAAAGGTCACAGAAAAAAAGAGAGGACCAGCCAGTAATGCAGGGGCAGCTGGAGGAAAGAGGGAGAAGGGCAGTACTTTCCTCCATGTACTCTGACATTTGGGATACGAGTATGGCTTTGAAAGATGAGTGATTTGTACTTCCACAAAATAGGGGACTATCTTTAAAGAGCAGCTCAGCAAAATACATTGACAGGGATTTTCAGTCTCTTTCCCAAGATGGCCACTTCTAAAGCAACACCCAAGAATGAACTATAACATGATAGTGCCATGTTATTACCTCAGTATTTTCTGAGATAGGTGCAGCAATATAGATGACTGACCAAAAATAGAGGTCTAGTCAGCTACCAAATTTTGGGCCAGCTGTGTGCAGTTCCTGTCTGGTCTACAATGACAAAGGTAAGCAAGCCTATTCCCCAGCACAAGTTTCCAAAGCCAGTTATTTGCTGCAACAGTCAGGAACACCTGAGAAACATGCAGCAATTAAAAACCAGGCAGTTTCCAAGATGTGATAATCTCTTAACACTGCAGTCACTTTCAGAAGTGCACTTTGTTAAATGTAAGACTTCATTTCCAGTCTATTCTCAGAATGGTCTTCTTTCCCCTGCTGCATGCAAGACTCAGTCCACTGACAAAAGAAAAGGAAAAAGAAATAAAAGCACCCTGGCTCTGGAAGTCCATTCATCCTCAGCAATAAAAGGACTATTGACGTGCTTGAAGTACTACATGCCCATAAAATAGCAAAGCTGGGCTCATACTATGTACCAGAAACTACCAAAGCTGTTACCAAAACGGTAGCATGTTTTTTTCTCCCCTTAAGGTTATTACCTAGATGCTGCTTTAACTCTTGTGTAAAAGTGTGCTAAATGAGTGTTTCAAAATGGCATCCCTTTACAGCTGTTTGATATTGCACTGCATCTGATATGACGAGTTGTTTTAATTTCAAACTGAGGAATGTATGCAAAACTGTTGTTGTTACAGAAGTCTTTTAAGATTAATAGAGCCTGGCCATGTACAATCAAGTAAATTAAGAACTGTAATGAATTTACTTTTGTATTTGTTTGCAACAAAGACTATTAATGCTCATGGCAGGTGCTCGACATTTTATTTAAATACTTTACATTATTTAAAATAAAATTCAATTTACTACAGAACTCTGGTAAAGTTTGTTTTAAATTAAACGTGATCAAAACTAAAGTGTCTGATTTTAAAAAGATTACCTCGGGTTGGAAATACATACGAGATTCCCCCTTCCAACCCGGCCTGTGCATTCAGCTCACGTTTCAGATGCTGTCCTCTAGCTAACAGTCAGCCGTACAGGACTGAATGAAACCATCTGCAGCTGAACACCACAGCAGCAGCAAAGTGACCCTCGCACCACATTATGCTGAATGACAAGGAGCAGCCTCCACAGCTAGGAGACAGGAGAGAAGAAAAAAAAAAAAAAAAAGTCTCATCTAACACACAAAATAACCTGCTGACACTCACACTGGGGTCAGCTACCAAGCGCAGCCTGACATGTGCATGCTCAGGAGCTGAGCGGAGCCGAGCAGCTTTGCCAATGAGGTATCCTAGAGCCTTCGGGCGACCTGGCTGAATAAAGGCTCAGGGTGCCCTGGGGCTCGAGGGTGGCTGGCAGCAGCTGCCAGGCAGCTCCTGCTGTAGCGTCCCACAAAGGAGCCACCCTCAAACCAAGCCAACCACCACAGAGGCATCTCTCATCACACTAGGCTTTTGCAGCCAGTGGTAGCCCCTAGCCCTGTGGGTGATTGACAGCCTTTTAGTATCAGTCTCATCAGGGCTGCTGCTGTGAAAAACCATCAGAAGGCAGCAGAGAGCCTCTGGCTCTGCACATTGTAAACAAAGCAAACCGTAGGTCAGTTTTTGGCTTCGCCTCTATACTACTCCTCACAAACCTTTTCTCTGTGACACCCAGAGTCCAGATACCAGTATTTATTTGGCTGCAGCCTGCACGGACAGCAGAATGGCCTCTGACAAATTTGAAACACTGCTGAGTGCCATTTACCAGATACACAGAGCTGCTGATTTGGGTACTTAAGAAAAAGCAGGTCTCAGGTATGAACTGGAAGATAGTAATCTTCTCTCCAGATAGCAGCAGGGGAGACGGCCAGCCCTCCGGCACTGCAGGGCGACAGAACCTCTCCAGGCCCAGCACCAGATCTGTTGTATCCGCACAAGCAGATAATGACAATACCAGTGTAACGCTGCCCAAAAAAACAACATTCACATTTCAGCACATTTCGTCATTTGTTACACATTTCATTACCTCTCCCCTAAACCACTTTAATTAATCCCCTCACTTGACAGTCACACAACAGACTTGCATATTCATTCTGGAAGAGAAGCTGTCCTGAAAATACTGCCAGCTTCTGGCCACCCAGCAACACCATATGCAGAAAGCTCACTGTGCAATCAAGAGCAGCATTGCCACAGAAGACACTGAATGGCATGTCTCTTTGGTGGAAGGAGGCTGGATTTATAGGTATCACATCCTAGTCTTTCACTACTGCACAGAGATTAGATAACACCTCTGATCTCTGCATCTCTTTAAACATTGTGGTTATTCTGTATTTCACAGTGATTCCCCTATGAGGGCAACTGTGGAAAAAAACCAAACATTAACACAACCTAATAGATGATTTCAAGAGGTTTGGTTTAAATAGTTACTTTTCCACTGGAAAGATTTCTTGCTTATTCTGCAGGAATGTCTAGTACCAGACATGGACTTTTGTTTGGATATCAACTCTGAGAAACAAGAAACAAGCAACACAAATGTCCATGGGTAGTGACACCAGAGCAGCAGGAGTTGCTTTTAAGCTTTTCTGACTAATCAGGAAACCATTTCATTGGTTTCAAGCTGTCACACTTCTCACCTAGGAAGGAAAGGTAAGCAACTGCTTAAACTGAACTCTTAGGAGCTGCCCACTGCTAGGAAGTTGCTGCTGAAACTCCTACTGAAAAAAGCTGAACAGAGGCAGCCAGCTGAGCTGTCCTCCCCTCCCGAAGTCCAGTGCCAGCTCCATGCTCTAACGTGAGCGTGAATCCCTAGTTTTGGTTTTGCTCGAGTGCAAAACAGAAACAGGCCACAGAAAGAGAAACATGTTTTACCAGTGCAGCCACTGGCCCAGAGATCTCTGGTAGGTCTGCCCAGTGCTGACAGTGAACGTACAGGCCCACAGGAGCAGGCAGCACCTGGGCTCACAGGATCCAACAAGATCATCTGCTGAAGCCAAAGAGCATGAGAGATGTGAACCATGACACTGGGAATTACATTTGAGGGTTTTATTAGTTGTTCTTCTGCAGAATCAAAATATTTAGCAAGTTACTTTAAAGATTCCTCAAGATTGCTGATATTTTATGTATTTAGAACTTGAACAATGTACAACATAATACACTTGGTACTACCAAAAACAACCCAAAACCTGATTTCTAGTACTAGATGTACTTATGTGATTCTATAGCAGTGTGGAGAATGAAACTAATGCAGTGAGTATATTTTGTTTTAAAGAAAGTGCTTGAAAAAAAACCTCCTGCTTCACACTGAGTATTATTTAAAACAAAAGATAACTGATTTCCTAGCAAGGCATTTCCTTAAACAACCTACAAGCCTGGGGGATTAAGAATACTGAGCCCCAGCTCTCTGCCTTCAGGTTCAAGAACCAACACAAGTTGCAGGTCCAGGTTCAGTTCACAGCTTACCTGTTTCAAGAGGATTTACACACCACTCAGCATTGGCTGCTTATGTCTGGCAGAAATGTTAGATGCATGGGTCAAAAAAACACAAGAAGAGGAACAGCTTCTCTTTTTATGCATAGCGACAGTTTCTGAACCAGTGTTTTACTAAGGTACAGACTGACTAACTTCCAACCAAAAAATAAAACTCCATTGCACTAAAGGTCAAATTTAACCAGTTAATTTGAACTGTGACAGTCAAGTAATTCAGTACAAGCAGACACCATGAAAGCAGCTTTATAGGGAAAAAGGGGGGAAAAAAAAAAAAAAAAGAAAAAGAAACCACACACTCCTGTCTCTGCCTATATACAATTCCAGTAGAGGCTGGGCAGTCTAAACTCTCCGTAGCCAAGCTGGAAAAGGGAAACTTAGGAAAGGGCACTTAAAATTTTAATTTAAGAAAAAAAGTTGGCTCTCAGTTGAAAGAAATGCTGTAGTAATGCACACAGGCAGGCTTGCTCAGTCATTTTCCCAGGTATGCAAAAAGCTGGACTCCTTCCTGTTGAGAGCAAGTCACACTGGCTGTGAAGGTGGCGGGGCTGGTCCTGCTCCATCACACACAGAGAACCCAGGAATGTGTTTTCAGCTGGCTCCTGCACGGGCCATTAGATCTTCCAAAGCATTGTGTTGGTCATTGTTATGTAATAATAAGACCTCCTTAATGTCTTTTAGTTCAAAGCCCATTTCTTTAAATTGACTCATTAGTTGGAGAAGTTCTGTGGTCTGAAAGAGAGAGAGAGACAGACAATTATTTGGCAAGAGAGAAAAGGATCAAGGCTCAGTCTTACTTGGGGCTTTGGTTTAGCAAAGTGCCAGTCTCCAGCCACTGGGCAACCCAATTCTTAGCTCCAAAAATACATCCTATTCAAGCGAGCTCAGTTTAGAAAAGGTACATTCGCACAAGAGCCAGCAGAGCTCAGTGTTCAGCAGCACACTGGACCTCACCTTCGGCAGGGATGTAACTTTGACCATTTTTAAAAGCCTATTTGGGAACGGTGCTATAACCTTCTATCAAATAGCTCTTAAGATCTAGAGCAAATTGAGGAAATCAGCAAAAATCATATTGGACACACTACACTACCATCTACCAACTCCAAATCTCAATCTTTCTTGATCCTCAAAAAAAGTGATAAGAAATGAATCAGCCAGACTCATGAACCATCTGCCACTTAAAGTGGCTGTACCTCAGTCAAGAAGAAAAAAAAATTGATTGAAATGGATAATCAGGAGATCAGCTATATCCCGTTTTGGGTTAAGCCACTAGTAAATGCATTTTCTAAACTCTCAGCCACTTCTCCCATCTTCACACACTGCTGTTCCTCCATCTGCAATCTCATCACTAAGTTCAAGAAGGGTAGGTAGCTATGCATGTGTCTAGGGGGAGTTGGGTTGCATCTCTGAAAGTGTAATATTATAGCTCAGCACACAACAAGTAGACATACGCTAAAAGAAGCGGTCCTACTGTCCTGTGTCCTAACTACCTGTTCCTGCCTCTGCACCTCTGGTGCTGCCAAGCAGCCACACAGTGAGCTAGTCCCCTAAAGGTAATTTTTTTCAGCTTCTTCCAGACAGAGCCCTAATACGATTTGCTGCGCAGCAAATCAGTGTCTGTACCAGGGAGGAAATTCATGGCCGGAGTAGGCAGGGTTTGGAAGGTAACTTGCTGCTTCTGAAATCAAGAGTCTCTGTATCAAGCACTTGGCCCACAAGTAGCCTGGGGGTTCAAAACACAACAGCCAGAATAAACAGGCTCTTAAAAAAAAAAAAAAAAAAAAGCTTGTCCTCACACAAATGCATTCAAGTGAGAACAATAAAAAAGTTACGCGGAACGTGTCCAGGGCTTTAACATATACTTCCTTTATCATCACAAGGATGTTCTCTGAAAACAAGGCAGTGTTACTGCGAAGCCAAAATTACATCAGTCATTTTTAGAGGAACTGCTGCTGGAATTCCCCTTCATGGTGCAACTTCACTGTTGCTTAGTGCACAATATCCTCACCTTCTCTTCTGAACACTGGTGCATTTCCAAAGCTGCTTCAACAAGAAGTGGATCAAAACCTTTCTCACAAAGCTGTCCATGTGCAAACAGATAATCCAAAACCTATGGAAAACAAGGAAAAAGAAACCAAATTCAGAGTGGCATTTTCAGTGTACAGCTGTACACCATCACTCTACATGCAGAGGGGCTGAGCATGACTCTACCCCAGGCTTCACTAGGGACTGAAAAGAAAAGTTCTTCCAGTAGAGTTGAGAAACTCTTTATGTGACAACTTGCTCAGGGAAAATGCATGAATTCTTCTGTCTTCTTACACTCCTCAGCTCTGAACTTCACCTTCCACTTGAGTCAAAACAATCTTAAAAAGCCTAACCTCAGCCTTCTGCTCCTGATCACTGAGCAAAAGGCAGGAGTTTAAGATTAACAGTGCTTTGACATCACAGGTTGTTGAAATGATACTGTAGGTCCCACAACTGAGGTAAGTCAGCTTCTGATTCAGTTTCCTCTCAGACAGCTCCAAGAGCTAATGCAGTCTGGAAGTGGTCAGCCTTTTAAGATCAACTCAGTATACTGCTGAGTGAACTGCAAATCCCAGCTCATACGCACAGAAACAGTTGCAAAATTTCTCAGCTTTGAGAGCTATGGATACAGGTTAGATGGGTAAGAGAAAGG